CCGGTGTGAGTCCGCCTTTACAGAAAGCGCTGCCATTGAGCTAACACTGCGCAAGACGGATGTACGCACGTTTGCACAAGACATATCATTATTAGGCGGCGCATTGCAAAAGCGAGCGTGGCTCTGTGCGTGTCTTGCATTGTGATTGAGCACTGTCAAATCCTAGCGATAACAAAGAGCGGAAACGACCGGGGCTCCGTGGCGCGGCTCCCGCATCACACTTGGGGAATGAAAATAAAATCCCGGAAATTGTACTATATTAGCGTGTTGATACTTTTTAAACATTAAAAAGTGGAGACACAAAAGGGACGATACAGACAGGACAATCTGAACTTTAAAGGCCGCTGTACAAACGGGACGTCCTGCAGAGAAGAACCTTCTCTCCCGAAGCTGGGGGGCGGGAGGGAAAGGGCTAGCGTTGGATGGAAAGAGCGTCTAGAAAATGGGATTAGCCTCGGGGCGAGCCATCCTCTCGAGAGGGAGTGGGGACGGAACAAAGCTGCCGTGGGGGTTCCGGCTAAAAGGTGGAAGAAAGTTAAGCATGTCAAACGGCGACCTCGGATCCGAGGACGGGCACGTCAGAGAATTTGAAAAAAGCTGCTTGATTAGCCGGACGACCCAGTGCGGTCTACTGGTTCTAGAAGGTGACTCGGATGAAGAAAACTCGTTTTGCTCGAAAACTCTAAAAGCATTCTGGACGTGAACTCTTGCCACAAATAAAAATAACACATGCATGAAAAACTACGAAGGCAACTAAGCTTTCTCCTATGATGGGAGAATGCGTGACCATTACAGGCAGAGTTATGTTGGCGCAACTTGCAAGAAAGAAAGGAAAGTTATGTTGGCGCAACGGACAGCGCGCTAGTTTCACGATCGAGAGGGCCTAGCTTCGAAACCGGGCAGGGGAGGTTGTTTTTTTTTCTCGTGTTCTTTTTTTTTATTTCGTTTATTTTTTTTGGTCACGTGACAAGAAAAATCACATGAACAGAATTTTTTTTTTTTTGGCCACGTCACCGGAGATTTATTTTTATTTCTCCTTTCCTTCAGTCTTTCTTTCTTTCTTTCTTTCTTTCTTTTTTTTCCGTTTTTTCGGTTTACGCTTTCTATCGCAAAACTCTTTGCACCTATTTCGCGTTACATTGGCGTTAGCCAAATCATTTTATTTATGGCGGGAAATTCTGCCGTACGTACCTTATGTTACTATTACGAACCCTGGCTTGCAATTTCTGCTATCCATAGGACTGGACTATACCCTTGCTCCACGGTACGTTCCAAAACGTGACTTCATAACTGAAATTGAAGAGAAACTCAGGCATCTGCACGATGTCACAGGGGTAAATCTCGCGAGAAGCCGCGTTGTCAGTGTTTTGAACAATGCGAAACCGGCCGGGTCAAAATTAGGCGTTACTTTGGCAGCTATGGCTGAAGTATGGCACCAACTTTGGCGCTCCTCTGGCGGACCAGAGAAACGCCAAACTTTGGCACGTCCCAAATACCGAAATTAGGCGTTGCTCTGGCAGTTATGGCTGAAGTATGGCACCAACTTTGGCGCTCTTCTGGCGGACCAGAGAAACGCCAAACCATGGCATGCCCCGCATTCCCAGATTAGGATTTACTATGGCAGTTACGGCTGAAGTATGGCACCAACTTTGGCACTCCTCTGGCGTACCAGAGAAGAGCCAAACTTTGGCATGCCCTAGAATCGCCCAACTAAGGCTATAGTTAGGCACCGTACTTTGGCACTGATGAGTGCCATGGTGCAAAAACCTAACTGCGCCAAAGTTGGGCCCTTATGTTTGCCAGACCTTTGCCGAAGTTGGGCATTCCTCTGGCGTGCTACCTGGGTAAGTTTTTGGGTCGCTGTATCTTGAGTTATCGACGATTGACTGAAAGAGAAGATCGGAATTACGGCCTACGGACGTTATTACGATCGTCTCTTTTAAGACTTTTGTTGCATATTATTTATTTATGCTTAAGACTCTTTTACTCTCTCTTCAAACAACCAAGTGCAGTTCGTTATAAAATCGGATGAGTATGTTTATCTCTGTGGCCAATGCTGATACACTGTTGTATAAAGCCAGTTCAAGTGTAATAAAACCTGCATTGTGGTCTAATAATAATGATCTTGAGATAAATACAATGAATACAATACCAACTTGTTCAGGACTAAAATAAACTAACTTTTATAAATCACACACTTTCACTGAGTACATCATCAATCAAACGAGTTCAATTACGTAAAACGTTAAGTACATTTTTCACAGGTAAATGATGTGGGACTGTTATGATAATTATTTAATAACTAACTCTCTCGGGTAATTGGTTTTCTCTAGGTGACGCAATATTTGGCCCCTCAACATTACACCTAAAATCTAATATCCATTATTTCAATCGCAAATAAATTACTGTCACCTTTGTTCATTCGCAATTAAATTTGTGTTCTTAATATTATATTGTATGAGCTACTATGACAAAAACAAACACTAAAACATACTTTATATATAAAAGAAAATAATATGATATCTTGCCAATATGTTTTATTAAGACCACGCAGTGCCTTTATTTTATAAACCTCTAATGACTCCTGTTGAACGCATGTCTGAGTTTTGTTTACTTTGTTCTATGCGTTTGTCATTTACATCTTTCATAGAATTCTTTTGCACTGTTTTTGAACTTACCAAGCATGATAGGGATGTCAGCATACTCAGCGGATAAGCGTGGGTCCTCCCTCTTTCCCGTACAAACTGTCATTACAATCCTTACATTACATGGTACCACTCGTTCTAAATAAATGCACCACAAACAATATAAATAAATACACGATCAGCAAACAAGACTTAAGCTCGTATATCCTCATTGCTTCTAACTTATTGTAACCTATTATAATTTTTATTTATTTATTACATTATAAGTTCATACTAGCAGAATGTATTCTATCAAAACTGCTGCCAATGCAATGAATCCCGGAGAAAAGCTCACCAGAGAAAAGCTCCCCGCAGAAAGGCTCACCAGAGAAAAGCTCGCTCCTTTTTGAGCGGATCGGGAGAGAAGGTTACCAGTCTTTTGACTGGCCGGCAGAAAAGTTCACCTCGAATTAAATTAATACGTAAAGTTATCATTTACAGCAGATTTATATGTTTTAGGTGACCCTCATCTCACACAGGCGGTACAGTGTGAAGCAGAGTTAGCGCGAAACGAGTTTTCGCATTTTACTTAGAGAAGGGGTTGATCAACATCAAACATTTATTGCATAAGTTTGTTCTACGAATGAGGAATTTGTACCGTACTAGCAATTATGATGGCAACCGCTAAAATATATAAAAAAAAATGCCAACGTTAGTTTATGTTCACAGTGTAACACACTTCACATTAGGTCGCTCTACTGTAGGCAAAATTTACAAAAAAAAATTATTTAAAACAATAACAAAAAATATTGAGATTGATTTGATTTCAATCAGAGTTATATTACTGCAGCTATAAAATACTGATTATTTATCTCTGTATGCATTTTTAAACACAGCAGGCTGTTTCATCGATTATCCCGATCAGTGAAAACAATGCGGAAAAAGAATTACTGCAATTTTAAGCACTTTCTGTAAATGAAAGCCCCCCCCCCCCCCCCCTCCTTGGTACTAGAAAAAAAAAAGCGCATTTATTTGTATTTTTTGTTAGAAAAACAGTTGAATTGGCTTTTCTTTTTCGCGATTGAATTTTCTTGCAATACATATAGCTTCCAAAGCTTTCGTTTCTCTCCTTGGCGTTCCGATTTTATATAAAAAATGCGACGTAACTGACGAACGAAAAGTCAGTAGTAGAAGTAAAGCTCAGCGTATCGATTTTCTCCGCCAACCACTGCTTTTTTGGTCGTGTTCAATCCGATATAAATCGTTGTTGTGTGATGACTCTGATTTAAATGCAAAACAGATGCGCCCTTCATTCAGTCACCCTAATAAGCACATTGAAAGCATAAAATGATAAACGAGCGGATAATAAAGAAATATATTTTGTGACTATATTTGCGGAAAAGGTTTGATTAAAACTATCCCACCAAAACCTTTCTGATTTGAATCAGGATTTGAGTCGTCTTTACTTTTATTTTGTACCATGGCTGTTGCCCTGGTTTTTGCTTTTATGTCAGCCGATTTCGCGTCAGTGTCACCATATTTAAATTAATTCTGACGCATCCGGGATAGAGAAATACCACTTTTTTATTTTCCGTTCGTTTGAGGTACAAATTGAAACCCCTGCTTCTTAAACATTTGGCAATGCGGGGGCGAAATTACACTAAAGTAATTTCGTAAATGAAAATTCCAAAATTACTCAAGTTGCAGCCCTCATCACTGGTTATATTCCTCCCGTTACTTCTTTAGCGCCTATAAAAATAATTTTTTTTTGTCGGGCGACACCTGCCGTGTTACTGGACGCTTATATATATATATAAGCGTCGTTTATATATATATATATATATATATATATATATATATATATATATATATATATATATATATGTATATATACAACACGGGCACTTCACACCATCGGATTAAGTACGGTTCATTCATCTGCACAAATTCGTTTATATATATATATATATATATATATATATATATATATATATATATATATATATATAAAATTCTGCTTCTGAAGTACAGAATGACCGCATAGGCATTAGGGCATCCCAGCATATTTCAATTGATTTAACATATTTCAGTTGAGTGAACGCTCGATTCTTAGACTCGTAGGTGATCTTCTCTCCGCGTCCGTCATTAGGCCGGTGAGCTTTTCTCCGCATCTGACAGTTTTGCGGTAAGCTTTTCTCCGGTGAGCTTCTCTCCGCCTCCCAAATGCAGCCGGGGTCCCATACCCAGTAAAGCTCTTTCTAACAGCTCTATTTCTGGAACTGTTTTTAGCTTTCCATGGAAGCAAAGCTGTTATTTAATTTGATTTAGTTTGAAGTGAAAGCCTCAGATATGCATCCAACAAGGGCTTTCGTGATAATGCACTTGCATATGTGAGGGCTGGCAATTACAAAAAAAAAAAAACACTCCACGCATTTGCGATTACATTTCTGTGTTTTTCTCGCACGAATAACGCCGGTAGGCAATGCAGAACTTAAAAATTGCGAAAGTAGCATATTTGACGCTCACCCTTGTTTTTTTTTTTTTTCATGATGAATTTATCCTTCATGAAGTCAATGTTGTTACTCAATATTCACATGTGTTTTTGCTTCTTACAGATTCTCAAGGTTCTTTAAGAGCAACGTTTAATTTGCATGAAAAACATCACGTAGGAAAAGCGGCATTTTTGTTGGTTACAGCCATCTGACTAGACGTCCTTTTAAAAAACAAAATATGGTATCGCAAAAATAAGACTTCTGGCGAATCACACAACGGATATTTCGTCTAATCACCGATATTACACGTGACTTCCTACTTTGACTTTCGTTCGGAAGGAATATAGTTGAAGTAGCACTTGGTGTTTGATCTACCACAGCGCTGCACTTTATGGCATAAGTCCGGCAGTGCTGCTCCTAAAATTTGGAGAGAATGTCTTTATAACATTTTTTTATACTGAACGCGGTTTTATTTTGTTTCTTCAAAAGCTCAAGTCTCATCTCCGTGATATATGGAGCGAAGAATTCACGGATCCGTTCCTGCTGCGTTGGCTAAGGGGTAAGTTTCAACGTAATAAGAAAAAAAAAATAAGTAATCAAGCATCGAATGTGGGTGCCCATGGCAACTTGAGTGTAAACTAAGAAATTTTACCATATAACAGTGTCTTCAAAAGCAAACTATACCTTTCCGTTGTAAAATCTAATAGACACATTAAACTGGTCTTGATGATGCCCCTGCTCAGGCTCACTGCCTTTACAGTGTAAACAATTTACAGTGCGGCTTGACGCATTGGGGTTAATTTCAATTGCTCTATAATATGACTTTCCTTACGCAGCTCGGGACTTCGACGTAAACAAGTCGGAGAAACTGCTGAGAGATGTAAGTTTTTTGGCTCTTCCACAACGTTAGACTCTTGACCATCATTGGCGAATTTCTGATGACTTCTAATGAATAACTTAGCAGCAGGCTTTCGGTTAGTGTCTTCTATCAGGCTATGGCAAGTCTCGTAAATTTCTCATTTTTATAAGTGTATGACACCTTGTGAGAGTAACCCGCTCCTGATACTAATGGACGGTACTAAACAAAGTGTCTCTGGAATTGTGCCTACAATCGAGAAATCAATCAATCGATCAATCAATAAATGAACCAACGGATCAATAATGATTCTGCTACAGATCTGGCATATTTAAACACTATGTAAACTCCGGGGGCACGAAGTTAAAATCTTGACTATACAAGCCTCTGCAGCCTTTCCGTTGATCGACGGTGACCAGGGAAACAATCAAGGAATAAAAAACAGACACACACAAATCCTTGCATACAGGTCACTTGGTCAGAAGTAATGGGGGAAAGGGCTGCGTGCGAAGGCAGCTTCCGCTGCGTAAGAGAGACGCTTCATGCCACCAGAAAGAAGGGCAGACTGACGTCACGTGCAAACCTATTTATGTTTTCCTACATTTCACGCTGTGCGAAGGTAAGTCACCAGACATACCTTTGCACAGCAGGGCTTAACCGAAGTTCGAAATGCGCCAAATTACCTGCCAAAATAATAGTTGGTTTTTGTGGAGTGGTTTCAATAAACTCACTTTGGTGTGTACGAATTCCTTTCAAGTTGTGCAACGGACGATGAAAACCACAACTTGAGTACGAGAGTATATTTGCTTCAGGAGACCAATGTATTATCTACGAATATATTTTGACTCCCACAGCTCTCAAAGACCTTACATAATCCCTTTTTATGCGGTTCTTTAATGGCAAAAGAAGACCGCAATCTTGTTTTTTTATTGTGGTAGATATTTATCGTAGAATATCTTTAAAAACATACGAATTGAATATTTAAATATTTTGCTTTTAGTTCATTTCAAATTGAACAGAACAGGAAAATTGCGATTGGAAACATTTTAATGCAAATGAAGTCGTCACACAAAACATTATTGACCCAATTCCTCCTCAAATATTTGCAACGCATCACACAAAGCTCCAATAGGCTAATAGGGAGGGCCAAATTATCCTATGACTCATGGAGTTCTTCCCCGGAAAGTTCTTCAAACTGCGAGTTCTGCAGCCCCCAAAGAACGAAATTACGTTCGAATCAAGATCGGATTGCTTTTTGCAGCTCTCGCAACAATAATCCCACACTGCAATTATTTATTTCGGCAAAATTAAAAAGCAAGAGTTAGGTTTCCAGCAAAAAGAAGAAGAAAAAAAGAGAAAAACGAGACGCAAGAAGGAGAAATTTAGAAAATTATACCCAGCGAACGAGAGACACGTGGCGGGTATATGAACACTGAAATCTATTAACCAAATGAGATAGATAATGCACTATTTTTTACCTCTCGATTTAAGTAACGAGTACAGTGTTACGATCTCGCCTGTTGTTTTATTGTTTAATGTAGGTGCCCCTTGAAACAAAGGAGTGTTGTGTCCTTTTCCATCATGAAACAAACGCCTACCTACTACGAAAAAATTTATCTTCTGCGCCATAGAAACCACAACAAGCGTTCAACATGCGAAAATAATGGAGTCAATACAAAAAGAAACAAGGACGATCATGTTGATAAGGGCCGAGAAACTGTATGGTTTTAGCGCAAACTAACACCCCGCAGAACCACCTCGCAGAAAGTGGCGTCACGTGACTTAAGGGCACACGACGTTCTAGTGTGACGTCATTTTCCCCGCTAGATTTAGTGGGAAAATCTACAAGTGACTTGAGGTGACGTGTTGTTCACGTACATTTTGTTTTTCCTCTAAATCTAGAGAGGAAGCGGGCACCACGTGACAATATTTCCCCGCTATATTTAGCGATGAATTTGAAGGGACTGTCCTACATGACATTCCTTCATGGCGATTCTTTGTGGCGGATTTTTATGACGATTTTCGCATAAACTTCGGATAATAAAAAAATCTTATGTTAGAATGTATACTCTTATTTTTTTTATGGAAAGCGCAAGTTTCCCTAATAAATGACGGACGGGCGTAACGTGATAAATTCATACGGTGCTACCGGCCCTTTCAGACCTGTGATCCCAGTGCTTTATTAGTGTCCCAAACAATATGGTGATTTGTGGCTATTCCATTAACTTCAAAGTGTAATCCTTCAAAAAAGCCTGGACACCGATCTCAAGTTTTTTTTTATTTTTTGTTTAAAGATAAATAGTCTTAAATTGGATGAGCATAATTTTGACAGCTCAGCTTATATACGTAACGATTGAATGTGTGCAACGAAGCAAACGCCGAAAAACAAAAACATGGACAAAAAAGCTCCCTTTGTTGACGTCATTTTTATTTCGTATTGCATCTCACGTAGTTAATCAGGGTAACTACCACTTTAGGGGGTATAGTGGGGTTGCAGTAATCGGTGCTGCGAGTCTTGTCCGAGAGTTCGTAATCGAACGCCCGCCCTGTCGGCCCCAGAGCTACCTTGATATCAAGTTCTAATTCGCAAAGAAAGTAATAAGGGCATCTGTTTTAAAGAAACATGATGTTTGATGTAAAAAAGATCGGCATGCACGTGGCTTTTAAGAAATTAAAGAGGTCTCGAGAGCAGGGACGAAAATTGATGTGTACAATTATGATAATTAAAGTTGCGCCAGTACCCGTGAAGGCGAAGATGTTGAAGATTTGAGGAAGGAGAAATATAGGACTGAGTTGTAAGTCAGCGCTGCGAGTCCGTTCCTTTCTTGTGTGCCTGTGGGTGTGACTGTTCATCCGCGCTGTTCCATCCAGGCCATGGGACAAACTTGGAATTAATTAGTTCAATGTGTTTTTTTGTGTTTTCGTTGAGGCATATATCTACGCTGAGCTCTTTTATGTTTTTATTTAGAACAATATTTGGCGGCAACGGGAAAAGATCGACTCACTTATCGAGACTTACGAAAATCCAGAGGTGAGCCTGTTTCCTTTTCGAATTCGTATTAATAATTGGCGGTATGTATAGACGCCGCCTTCAGTTCAAAGGTGCAATTTTGTCCGAAACTTCGCACTAATGTGCTGAATTTCGCGGCGCCTCCCCCAAAACTTTGCATTAATCATTAAAGGGGCCATGAAACGAACTTTGGGCTGGGATAAAATATTTTAAATTGGGACTTTACTAATCGCATATCGTTTAGTTGGCCAAAGGAAAGAGGCTAGAAAGTCAAAAGCCAGCTTTTCGGTACGAACATTTGAAAATATAGCAGACTATTTTGTACCTTCTTGCCTTCGAAAGCTCTCTGCCTTTTCACTATGATACATCCGCGGTTCCAAAAGCGCGTCAGCGGCGCCAAACTGACGTCAGCAGAGCCCAGCTCACCCATTGGACACGAGAACTGCGTCACTCGGACGTATGCGCTCGTCAACAATCAATCTGTCGACGAATATTTGGATTCGCGTTCGTGGCCAATGAGTGCCCTGACGAAACTTATTGTCACTGGGGAATGACAAGTTCTATGGTGTGCATAAAAAACCACGGTGGAAGCTAGGAGTCATCGCACCGGTGCCGAAGGAATCTCACGACCACGTGATTTCACAATTGGCATTTGAGTTGAGGATTAAAGCTAAGGAGGAAGAAGTAGGAAAATCGTTTCATGACCTCTTTAATAATTATTAATGCATACATAAAAAACGATCCCGCATGCAGCACATTAAAAATTATTGGGCTGCATGCTGGAGCGTCTTTTATGCACTACATGAAAACAGATCCCTCAAGTGCTAGAAGTAAAATAACAATAAAAATTTTACCCCCCCCCCCCCCCCCAAAAAAAAAGACCTGCATTATTTTTTTGTTTATGGCGGACACAAAAAAAGAAAGAAAACGTGTGCGCTCAGTACTTTTTAACGAATAACTACTGGTTCGTTATATATCAATTCTAACACAAGATGACAAAAACAACGAGAGTACAAAAATGCAGCCTGTTATTTATATCGACTAGTCTCCGTTTCCCGGATTTATATTCCGTAACTTCTGAGTTTGAAATGTAAATTTAAGTTGCGTTCATTTTGTTCCGGACAACCAATACCTAGAGTAGGGCATACAAAAAAAAAAAAACGAATGGAAGTTGCTAACACGCTCCTTTGTTTAAATTCAACCCCCCCCCCCCCCCCCAAAAAAAAAGAAGAAAAAAAAGAAAGAAAACACATTACAGCAGAAATTAAATTGTATGTTCGCGTGGTAATTTCTGTGATCAATCAAAGCCCAACAATGAGCAGACACGGAGCGCTTCGCCGATTCCCGCCATATATAGCCACACAATGTCTGGTGGAAGATCCTGGCGGTACGTTTTTCTTTGCGTGCGCGTGCGACATGAGAGGATTGCGATGAATTGAAACAACACCCAGCTGATTCTTAATACAATACAAAACAATTTATCACGTTTACAGCTTTTACAGCTTAATGACCACCAAAGGCAAGAAGACTTGTGGGTGAGAGGCGGCTATAAAGTTTGGAAGGGGAAATATAATCTAGCGAGAAATAACACATAAAAAACAAACAAACATTATTTTCGTAACATTTTATATTGTTGACAGTACTCACAGTGATCAAAGCACTGAACCAGGGATACCTATGCCTGCGCATACTCAAAACTTTGTGGAACCATAATGGTTTGTTGCAACACGATCTTTGATCTGCTAAAAATACAATTTAGTAAAGCCCACATATCGTCTTAATAAAGAATATGAGCAGCCCAGCAATTAACATTATTGGAAAGGCTTCAATTTGCTTATGATCACCAAAATGCATGAGCTTTTCTCATTTCGATATTTTGTTTTCATATCAAACTATTCTACTAATCTGCAAGTTGTATTCGTGAAATATAAAACTGCAACATAATAGTTTCAGCTTGATGGAGCAGCAGTGATGGATTGGCATAATGTGAACTCCCAATCATTTCCCCAAAAACTTCCGGCCCAGAGGGCACAATTTTTTTGTCCTAATCTTGTTCATATTTTGCATATTTTTTGGGGGGAAAGGGGGGGGGGTTAGTGGTTAATCATTTCAGATGTTCGAGGCGCTAGTCTCTACCTTGCACTTTCATATTCATTCGAAGAATTCTGCTTTCTCAAACCCAGTAATGCAACAAACTTAGTAATTTAAAACCAAACAATAATTTAATAAGACATTTGTGGGAAGAGACTAATTTCCACATGTGCTTAAATAATAAGAACTCACTATTGCGATGTGCTCTTAAATATATACGTCTCTTTTCAGCTCGAAGGTAAAAATAAATGTTCACGCCGACCATCTGTAAGATTTGGTTAATGCCAACGCTCTCTCTCCTGCTGAAATTTTTGTCGATGTCCCTTTTTCTGTTTGTGCATTAAGTTACCACTTCGAGTGCTCTTGAGGTCAGATATTTGGATACGACATTTTCATATTGTGTACAGCTCACAAGAGTCGCCGGTCATCCGAGTACGCGTTGAAGTGACCTGAAAAAAAAAAGAATGCTATTTTAGGTGCTGAGGCTTTACTTTCCTGGCGGCTTGTGTAACCACGATCGCGAAGGCCGACCCCTCTGGCTCCTGCGCTTCGGCAATGCGGACTTCAAAGGTAACATTAAAGACTGCAGCAACATTGTAACATTTAGGCGTTGTTGGGAGCACTAAAACATTGAACGGGCTGTACATTAACGCAAACGTACAATACTACGTAAGTCAAACGTATTTAAAGTTGCAGTGGTCCCGGGGTCCGTGTAGTATTGCGGACCAACAGAGTCGAAATAGGGGTAATTTTGTTCTGCTGTAGGAAGCACAAGAATTCTTCAGTTGTCTTTTACTTTCGATAGTTTAAATGAGGGGGGGGGGGGCAAAAATATTTCTAGTTGCAAAAACGCTTTTTGTGAAGAATGCTACATTTCTCTGCGTGCTTTTTTATTTTTTTTTTGTTGAGAGCATAGAACTAGTCAGTGTATCAAGATTTTGATGTGTCACCAGCCATCATAACATGCACTCTCTGCAGCCTTGACATGTTTTGTATATTCTTAAGAATCTATCTGGCATCTATAAAAGATTGCCGAGTTTTACAGGCCTAATCGCTTGATGGGGGTGCATCATTGGCTTCTCTGCCTTGTCTTGTGAACGTTCTCACTTGTCTATTGTACTTTTGACACTAACACTCCTCCAACGCCTTTAATTTATTAAATTCAAACAATGTTTACCAATTCCTTCACTTCCAAGCATGATGCCTATGAAAGGGATCTCTTAAGCATTGATAACGAAGCACGATGTCTTCTTGTCACACTCCCCAGCGTAAAGCTAGAGTTTCTTTTGAAACCTTGAAAGGCTGGCATTTATCAGAGCCTAATAAAGCCCCAGGAGCGTGTCACGTGATTTTTTTCCCCATATCACTGACAATGATAGCAAGGTTAAGTAGTATGCTCGTGTGGCTCGAAGCCCCCAAAGTGGCCCACCTTTCAAAAAGAACAAAAATAGAGAAGCTGACTCAGCTACTTTTTGGAAATAAAGTGGTGTCTAAGTTCATTTAAAACGTTATCTAGAAGCCGCCACGTTATGTTAGAATATTGCAAGGTGCTGACGGCTGGTGGTGGAAAAATGGGAATGCGGGGAATCCGTAGATTTGTTGTTGAAAATTGTCGTTTTACATTTGATTGTGTACGTTTGATTCTTATCAATCTTATTTTGGAATAAATATAATCCTGTAAAACTGTAAATTTAAAACATTAAAACGATGTCTATACACAGGAATATTGCAGTGCGTATCAACGGAGGCGTTGGTCAAGCATGTCACGTACATCGTTGAAAACATCATCGCAGATATGAAGGCACAAAGCAAAAAGGTGAGCCCCAAGACAATTTTGACATCGGTGAGGTCATTTAACGATATAACATGACAGTCATTCTACACCGGTTCAGAAACAGGCAGCGTTCCAGAGAATAGGAAAGTCGTTTCTACAAATACAGTTGTAATGATCAAATTGCACTAAAGAAAGTCAAAAATTAAAAGGGTGGAGAAGTTTTATTGAAATCTACACTGATTTTCTCACTAGATTTTGTTTCAATATAACTTTGCGAAAACTTTAACGCTACGGCACCCTTGAGTCAATCAGAGCAATTTAGGTAAAGCGCGTGACAGTCTCTACCAGGAGTACAGGGGCGATACAGTAACCCAAGCAGTTAGAGTGTAGGAACATGGGAAACTCCACTCGTAACCCGGAGCTTCTTTTGTGTGTCCCAGACGTCGCTTTCGTTCACGGTTGGGATCAGCCTGCAGCTCGAATTCGCACAAAAAAAGGCTTTCCTCTTACTCCTGCCTCTGACTTTAACAGCACTGCGCACGACTCGTGAGATAAAGTATAGTCACGTGTTTCCTTCCGACGCCTTGATTGATTCTCTGGGACCGTAGACTTCACCGCTTGCCAAGTTACGTTGAGAAGTATAGTCTAGGAGCGGTAACGTGGCGCGAAAACAAGAAAGAATTAATAATTTATTCACAATACACATGTATGTATTATATGATAGGGGCTTGGGAAAAAAGCGGTCGAAGCAGCTTGACTGGTTCCCAACCCCGTTACAGCTACACAGATCTGCAGAAAACTAAACTCTAGTTATTTTTTATATAAAGATTCCTTCACAAGAGTACGGCAAAAGAAATTAAATACCAAGAAACAATAAATTGAACAAAGTCAAAATGAATCATCATTATATGCTTCCAGCTTTATACAAAAGTCGCAAAATTCTCTGAATCAATTTATACAGTGTGAACGAATTCCGCTTCGAGTAGAGGAAAACAAGGCAGAACAAAGCAACAAATGTATATCTTTAAATATATTAATGGCGAAGTTCACGTAGGCTAGAATTTACTATAATAATATTTTAAATTGATGGAAGTGTTTGTTGGTCAGGTACATTGAATAATTTTAAGGGCGTAATTTGTGAGGGATGTTTCTAATATTCTGATGTCCGATTGACAAATGAACTGTTTTCCTGTTTGATCTTTTTCTGAATGACACCAAGTTTCACAAAAATGTATTAATTTCTAAATAACCTTGCCGATATTTAACGCTAACGCTTTATCCGTAGAGCTAAAGTTTTCTGTTTTTCAATATTTCAAGTTAATAAATGTGTGGTATATGTGGATATTGCACGGCACGTTACAAATGACCACTCTTGGGTAGTAACGCGTTACTAGTAACGCGTTACTGTAACTTCGTTACTTTTTAGTAACTTGGAACTGTAACGAGTTACTTTTTAAGAATGTAACTTGTAACTGTAGTTCTATTACTTTTTCTGAGGTAACGATGAAAGTAACGACGTTACTTTTGTCGTTACTTTTCAGTTCTTTATGAATAATAAATCATTGAACGAGTATAATCTAGCTATTCCTTGCACTTTCCAGATTGTCTGTTCTGACACTTCGAGTGTCAGTTGGCCTTGCACAAACTTGGGAATACGCTCTTTCTCGCAAGTCACGACCCGAATATGGCCACGTGTAGATTTGATGAAAAAAAAGAAGAAAAGAAGAATCTAGTTGTCTTTACGCACGTGCTTGTACTTTGTGACTGAACACTTATTTCTTAGTATCTTAAAACACTATCTCTGTGGCGTTTTTTTTTTCTGCGCACGCTTTTTAAACGGGTGAAGCAACCGGGAAACAACAATACACGCGGAGGGCACTACGTACGTTTCGTATTTTGATTTGCGCCCCTACTCCGGCGTGGTGTCAACAGTGGAGGCAGAATTTACTGTTGTTTGCGCGGGTTTTTTTTTTGCTTGCCGTGTACGTACTGAAATATGTCCAAGGACTCCATGAACCCAGCGCAACCGTCAACGAGCAAGCAATGTGCTAGTGCTACCAAGGATAGGGATATTGATGAGAACAAAGAACTAGCATGAACGGCGTACAGACAGTATTTTGCTGTGGCGAAGGGGGTTGCTAACAATTTGACCGCAGTATGCAAACTTTGCAACAACGAGTACTCCGACAACAAGTCTTCGTGTTCAAATCTGAGAAAACACATTTAGTTGAATTTTGGACTTTATTCTTTTTAAAATATTGACTAATTTTCCAGCTAAACTATGAAGTTCGAATTTACCGCTATGGTGAGAGCCTGACTGATTCGTGTCTATGTTGTTTTTCTTTCAGACACTAGTTTTTTCTAACTTTTTTTTTTGTTATCGAAAAGTAACTGAAAAGTAACGTCGCTACTTTTTGAAAGTAACTGTAACTGTAACGAGTTACTCTTTTGTTGCGGTAACTGTAACGGTAACTTCGCTACTTTTTTCTGAAAGTAACTGTAACTATAACGAATTACTTTTTAAAAGTAACTTACCCAAGACTGCACATGACTCGGCACACTTTATTCCAATAAAAAATTTATATGTAAATGTATTTTTATTGTTGTATCCCAGACCAAGTAATTAGAATTAGATTGAAATTAAAAAAGAATGTGATGTACAATAGTAGCTTGACGTTTAATAGAGAAAGAAACTACGTTTATGTAGCAAAGCAATGATACCAGCAAGTCTCTAAACGATGCCGTCTATGTGCTTAGTACAAGGTATGTAGTTACTTATGTAGTTATGTGGAACTTACTAATTTAATGGGGAAGCAGTGCAACATGATGCAGCTAGAAAGACTAACGTACTTATGTTTTGGGACTAAACATGGCTTTAGTAATATTCTCGCTTATTATTTAAATACTTCTTTTAGATAGGCCACGTTTAAAGACCTTTTATGATGTTATTTGTGGTTTGTATAAGATAATTACAATTTGGAGCCGAGAGGAGGATGTGTTCATGCTCACCAGCATTCGTTTATTTAATTATAGACTAGAATGGAGGAGATTGAATTTGATGTCTCCTTACTGGATTATACTGAATCTCGCCAATATCAACAGCCGTATTTAAAATTAATATTTAGACCTAACCTGTGTCTTCTGCTTCATACCGCAGTATAAGAACGCGGCATGAGAAGGGGCACGAAACGCTTAACATTGTAACATCGTGAATTTTTTTTTCAAAGTTACTGTATATATTTCTTAGTCTTCAGAATGTTAAATATATTTTTCATGGTGAGCAATTATGTCGAATTGTGTATTCCAGTGTAGCAGCGTGCTTTCGTAGCCATTTTCTCTTGAACGGGATGGACTGTTTCTGATAAGTGCCTATCTCGTTTCTAAAAAGAAGGATTTTTAACGTTGTGCTTGGGTAACAATCTCATGTTTTGTGCCCTTGGGTGGTATATCAATGATCATACTGTATTGTAGTGCGCACTTACATTTATAAAAAGAGAGAGAGAGAATGCACTTTAATATTGTGCATTCTCTCTCTCTCTTTTTTTTTATAAATGTAAGTGCGCACTACAATACAGTATTATTTGAATTGTCATTTATTCAAACGCACCACAATAATGAAGAAATTTGTATTTATTGCGAACGATACACCTTCATATGCAACATAATTTTAATTATTCCTTTTAAATTATCGCACGAACATTTTATTCCCTGTTGCTACACCTATAACAAAAAAATTTACAGTTGATGCCGGTTATTTAGAAAGCGGTTTTAAAGACTCTGAACCTTTGTCAAGATTGTTTTGACGTTTTTAACCTGCTACCAATATTTCAGTTACAAAGTGCCACCGATACGTTAGCATCGGGGATAAGAATCGCTTCAATACGTTTTACCTTTTCAGAAAGTTTTATATCTTACTTTGATCTTTTGTTTCTTTGTAAGGCATCTAATATTACAAAAGCATCGGTAAAAAATAACGTCCTACTAGGGCTGCAGGTAGAATGCCATTCTGGCGCCCCTTTACGTATCATCTGCTAGTCAATATGATCGTTATGATGAATGTGGAATGCAATAAATGCCCGAGCAATGAGGTTACAGGGTTATATAAAAAAAATTGCTGGTTAAAATAGGTAGGAATCTTCACGATCCTCTTTAATCCCAAGTCATATGTTGAGACTTGAATGTCAAAGAGAACTTGTTAATAGTGTCTTCTGATCTTTTTGGCACATATGCTATTGAAAAGGATACAAAAGCATCATTCGTTGAGCTTCAAATTTTTTTCTTACGATAAAGAAAAGTAAGCACACTGTTCGAACGTTTGTTGTTTTAAAGTATTTCCCGGAAGAGATGGCTGCCAAAAAAACGAACTTACTCGTTTTCGCACTTAACGCAAACGGCATAACGACAGCATATTGTAACCGCAGGTATCCTGATGCCCCCTTCTGCCGTCCTAATTTTTTGTCACTGAATATACCTGGTTGTTTTTCGTCAGTTTTGAATCTTAGCGCTTATTTAAAATAGTGTTATTTTTGACACTTGGACATTTATATAACTTGTGAGGGAGAACTATTTTCGCTCTACACCGCAAGACACTGATATGTTGTGAGTTGGCATATGCTAAACTGAACTTTCACCGCTGTCAATGTTTTGTTACAGTTGGGTAAGGTCGTGGATACTTCCACCGTCGTTTTCGACTACGACAACTTCAGCATCCGACAAGTGTACAGTTACCAAGGTAAAGATTCAAAATATTACCGGCTATGGAATGCATTCGGCCTTCATGACGCTCCCTTTTCTTTCAAGTGGTCGAGTTCATTCGTCTCCTCATGGTACTCTACGAGAATTACTATCCTGAGATGCTTGAACAATGTTTCATCATTAACGGTGAGTGACGAGTCATCATTATGCTAGTGAAAGTGTTCTGTATTTGACTCTAAACCTACATATACTTCCATGGAGCTGCTGGTTTCAAGCTTACTCTTAGAAATAGTTTTGTTGGTCGTAAGAACCTGGATACTCGGCTTGATCTTTTCAGTTTGAATTAGGATCGTGGAAGGATTGCGAAATAATGTCGATGCAGTACGTCCTCCACGCTTTATTGTGGGGTTGATATAAAATGAAGTTGGCACAACTCAACAAAATTGTTCTCTTCGGTCTGAGGTCGCCATGCGCAAAACAGTGATCAAATCCTGACATCGCAGAAAGCAGGCAATCAAATAATATTATTATTTATCTGGTCACCGCTCTTCAGCGGTGACCAAATTGTTTCTGCCTGCGAGGTGTCTAAATGTACACCATGTGCGAACTCTCTTGCAAATTTAGGCGATGTCAAATCTCTGCCATTTCCCTAGTTTGATTTATAAATTATTAGCCTTGTATACTGTTCGTGGTCCTCAAAAGCGATTCGATCTGGGTTTTTGAACCCTATGTTTCACATGCACTCTGTCCCGGCACAAGTTGCATCGTCTGGTTACAACGTTTCTCACACTATTATTTTAGGCTGAGTGACTTTCATGAATTAGAATTATGGACTCATCGCACGCGCTGTATGGACGTAGAAATGTGGGCTTTTTATAGTAGCTGTGCATATTTTGGTATCGTGGATTCGTAATAACTTTTACGCCAGTGAAATTAATACCTTTCACATGCTTTAACATAATCACTTCATTTACAAACGAACTTCAGCGCCATCTTGTCAGTTAAATGAACTTACGTTTTTAAAACATTTTGAGGTATTACGGCTCAGTGTATTTATACATTTAGATAGGATGGCTTCACACAGCAAACATTCAAGGGGATGGCTCCACACAGCAAACGTGCTTGTTCTTACTTTTACGCTGCAACACCCACTATACCCTGAAAACTGTGGAAAATGGCACAGAAAACATTTCAGTCTCGGGAGGATAAAGCCAATTGATTAAGCAACTATTTTGTGATTTATGCGCCATTACACAGTGGCGCCTTATAGGAGCACGAAGCGGTGTAGACTTTCCATTTTCCCGTGGGGGGGGGGGGGGGGGCAGGCGGAGAAGTTCTCCGGGGGGGGGGGGGGGGGGTGCTTTACCGCGCAATTTCTTTTACACAGGCAATTAGCATTATAATGCAAATAAATGCAAAGGTGCAAGCGAGCTGGACAAGAATGACGAAAATGATCCCTGGAGAAGGGGAACAAGAGGGACAAAGGACAAACACAAATCTCCAAACACAGCTAGGTGACTAGTGCGCGACCGAAAAAATCCGCCTGGTCCGGGTATCGAACCCGGGACCTCTCCATTACAGGTGGAGCGCTCTACCAATTGAGCTAACCAGGGGTTAGACATCAGTAGAGCGAACGGGTTTTATCAGCCGCCACCAGTCTAACACCAACAAGGGTGAAGCTTGCAATTTAAGGTTAAGATTATAATGCAAATAAAGGCAAAGGTGCAAGCGAGCTGGACAAGAATGACGAAAATGATCCCTGGAGAAGGGGAACAAGAGGGACAAAGGACAAACACAAATCTCCAAACACATTAGCTGTGTTTGGAGATTTGTGTTTGTCCTTTGTCCCTCTTGTTCCCCTTCTCCAGGGATCATTTTCGTCATTCTTGTCCAGCTCGCTTGCACCTTTGCATTTATTCGCATTATAATCTAAACCGTAAATTGCAAGCTTCACCCTGGTTGGTGTTAGACTGGTGGCGGCTGATAAAACCCGTTCGCTCTACTGATGTCTAACCCCTGGTTAGCTCAATTGGTAGAGCGCTCCACCTGTAATGGAGAGGTCCCGGGTTCGATACCCGGACCAGGCGGATTTTTTCGGTCGCGCACCAGTCACCAGTCACCTAGCTGTGTTTGGAGATTTGTGTATGTCCTTTGTCCCTCTTGTTCCCCTTCTCCAGGGATCATTTTCGGCAATTAGCAGTAGTTTATTTTAGGGCGCACATTTTACAGCGTATGTTAATCACCATTTGGCCGTCGCTGTGTGTCAATGTCAATCACAGTGCAAGCGTAGCCGTGTTTTCATCGCCATTACCACGGCGTATGCGCCGGCGAGCACAAATCTAAAAAAACAAAATGCTTGTGCCAGCTGAGAAATTGTGAGGGTGGAAAACCCAGGCCTCTGTGCTTCTGAAGCAGTAATCCTCACGTCTCAGTAAGGATCAGGGCCCGGGGGGGGGGGGGGGCCCTGACCCTTTCCGGATTTCACCCCCCCCGCCCCCCGTAGTCTACGCCCATGGTTGCACGGGGGACGTACCGTACATCTCAAGTGAATTACACATGGTTTATAAAGAAGTTCCATAAGACTTAACCAGGCAAATGGTAAAGCCCTATACTGATTCGTTTCCAAAATATAAGAGTGACAGGTCTCGAGGTATTTCGTTGTAAGGTCTGGATCTCTGCCTCAAATTGTTGTAAGGTTCTTTCGCTGACTATGGTGGTTAGAGTTAATGGTATTATCTGAGAAAAAAAAGTGCGTGGGGTTTTCATAAACACTGATCTGCTTTCACCGCCTGGGGCTATGCTTCAACCAAAATGTCTTGTCGTCATTGATGCGTTTACATGGATGCGACGACAAAAATTCAAGTTAAGGTGGGATCAATACCATAAACGAAAGCTTCTTCATAACTTATTTTTGTATCTAATCATAGTCATCCATCTCGATTCGATGAGCTAATTGCATGCATATACAAAACAACCACTGACTTGCCTATCATTGAGTACACATAATTGCGGTGCCCCATACTAGAATTCAAGTGCGGCATACGCACGTAATTAACTTTGGCAAGCTGACATTTGGCCCCTTTCTAAAGTATGCGGTTTTCTGTAGCAGCTGCGCCGATTATCTGAGGCAGCTAAATATTGGGCATGCCGTTTGAGCATTATTAGACCGTCAGCATTCGGCATGAACTTGGATCCAATTTTACGCTTCGAGTAGGAAGTGATTTCAAAAATGTAATGGCCGGCAGCTTGGATTTATAGACTTTTGAATGCCGATACTACAAACCCGGGCACGAGGTTTGGACTGACGCTTTCAGTTCACAAAATAATTGAGGTAAGGGTAAGTTTATACAGTCTAGAACATAGTCTGCTTCAACGGACGACTTGTCTGTCTCAGCTGTCAATGAAAAATTTAGCCAGTGCAGTACAACCGCTTGCCTCGGGTCTTTAACGTGCATCACGAAATAGTGATACACGATCGCTCGCCGGTACGATGCTGATCCATATCGAAACGGGCGGGGGTGTTTATTGAACCCAGGATCTCTGGGTTCTGCAGCGCGTGCTTTCGCTCCACGTTCTCCGAGCTGGTATACGCTAACCCACTTGGCCACCGTCTCCCCACTTTCAGCTCATAAGCGTGCGTTCATAGCAGGCTTGCTCAAAGCATTGTGCTCGCTTTTGTGGTTTTTTTCCTCGCTCGCACTTATGGTAAAAAAAATGCAGCACAGACACGGAAGAAATAAAATGGCAAACATAATTCCACATCCCAGCAGAACAAAAAAAAAAACAAAAAACAACGTTAGCGCATACTTTGCAACAATCCCAAGCTAACAAACAAAAGCTAACAGTGTTTTTTTTTTTTTTTTTGCAACACTCTTGGCAGTTCCAAGCTTCTTTCAGATCTTCTGGAAGCTCGTCAGACCCTTCCTGACTGAAAGAACAGCGGGAAAGATCCAAATATTCTCACGCGGTAAGAGGCTAAGCGCATCAAAATTTCATCATGTCTTTAGAAGTTTTGTGTCCGCCGTTCTTGAGCAGAGAGGACTTCCATTTGTTGATGCACAAGAGAGGGCTTTCATCTCTTTTAAATGTACCCACAACAGGCACAAATATGATAAAGTGCCCTGACGTACTTATCCGAGATGTAGACATGGGCAATTTGAAGTGCGTCAATGTCAACGCAGCCGGAAGAGGCTAAATGCTGCATGAATCATGTTATGGTTTGTTGCACGAGTAGCGTAGGTGATAAGAAAGGAAAACAAAAAACAGAAAGAGACATGCGGGGGGCTCCGGAACTCCGATTGAGCCATGATTTGGCTGACAGATTTTTAGGCCAAGTGTAAATGAATGTTGTGCTTTCCTCAGGTTCCCGACTGTTCTGACTAATATTATGGTGTGCTTCTTTTGATGCAGGCTTGTTTTGAAAGTGTGCTTTCAAGATCAATTTTTATCACAGAGCTTCCGTGTGTACGTGCTTGCCAGTTGCATCGCAAATTAAGTAATGTTAGTTCGCCTTTGTCGACACCTACACAAGTTTATTTGATTGAATAGCTTTTGGCATTGCATTTTTACCTCCGTGTTACAAATGACAACGTGATGTTAAGATTTGAACAAAGTAAACAATAAAAACTGCGCTCAAAACGAATATATCCCTAAAATGCAAGCCCAGTTCTGCCTACATCTCCAGATTCTTCGGTTTTGGAGTTACTTGTTTTTGCCAAGCCTCTCTTAACGCAAAAGCAAATGTTTTGAGGACGGCGTTTCCCAGGAACAATTCGTAATTAGGGTGGATGGTTCCGTCAACGCTGGTTGAAGGACTTCCTCCTTTACATCAGTAAACCAAACGATGATTCCACAGTGTGTTTTGCAAATGAAACCCCTATCTGTTAAAGTTTATTTTGTATATGGTAGTTTCGGCATCTACTCTGCCTTTTCTTTGCCAACTTCTTAAAATACTTCTCATTCCTGTAGAAGGATGGCAGCCGGTTCTGTTGAAGTGCGTGGATCCTTCCCAGCTGCCTGCTCATTGGGGAGGAGACCTGGTGGGACCTAACGGCGACAGAGAGTGCACCCACTTGGTAAAAATTATTAGTCTACCATGACATATAAATTGAGGGAAGATATTTGGTTTGATTTATATTTGTACAGTCGGAAGAACTATGAGTTGCTTCGGCGAAGCACGAAGACCATAAGGTCCAAACGCAAATTTGCTCTCCGTACCCACTTCAGCGTTTATAAAATTAATTGACAATTTGTTTGTGTTTATTGGTAAAAATGGTCTCACTGTATTTTTGGGTGGCGACTTAACTATTGATATTGTCTCCTCATCGCTGAAGCACCTACAGTTTTTCGCCTTATATAAGTCGTACGTAAAATTTAACCCAACGTCTAAACCCAAGCGAATAACTCCTTCGAAAGAAAAATAACTTGATTTGTTTCTAACCAATGCCGACCAGTCTTATTTGCCGGGAGGTGTCACTGGAACAACGATAAGTGACCGCCTACCAATTTATATGTCTGTCGACTTGAAAATCGGGATACAGAAGGACGGAAATGACTGCCTGGTTTATTATCAAAATATCAGTGACAGAAATCTAGATGCCATTGAAGCTGGCGTTTGCCGTACTGATAAGAGCACGGTGTTCTCTAGTGCTTCAGCTGACGAGGCATATTAGTACTTGAGGAGAATTTTCACAAAGAGATATATTAATTGTGTTTCCCGTACAGAAAACAAATAGCACCCAGGAAAGCTCGGAAGCCCTTGGTCACCAAGGGTTTCCGATATAATCAAATTGATGAGTAAAAAAGGATGCTTTCTGCAACAAGGTAAAAACATCAAGAAATTCAGATGTGATGGCGCTATTTAAAAAGCAGCTCAATGCTGTTGCAATCACTTCACGTAAGGCTAAGCGTGCATATTTTTAATCTGCGTTTAAAAATGAGCGACGAATAGATATTATATGAAAGAAGATTGACTCATTTCTGAGACATGGCGATTCCAAATCTACAGTCCCCAAGCTTAATATTGAGGGGGAAACTAGAGGAGGTTTAGCGTTAGCTGAAATATATAATAACTACTTTGTAAACATTCTAAAGAATGGTAACAAAGTCGATGAATTTCCTCTCTAAAAGGCGTCTCTGGCACACTTTTTTGTGTTTTTGACCTTACTGACGCAGATAAACTAGCAGCAGCTTTCATGAACCTGGGAAATTGCAAAAGTACTGATATAAATGGTGTTAAATCAAACACTGAAACATGTAATTAAATCAATTGCTGCTTTTTTATCAAATACTTAATTTGGCACTTCAAAATGGCCATTTCCCTAAAAAGATGCAAGTCGCTAAGTTTACGGTTATTTTAAAGTCTGGAGATGAAAACAACCTAGGAAAATATAAACCCGTTTCTCTGATGTTAGTGTTTTCAAAAGGGCGAGAGAAAGTAACACACGCCAGAGTATACAACTTCCGTGGAGGCTGTAAAATAAGTGGAATCGTAGCGGACGACACCACTTAATTTTTTTCGGGTTAAGTTGTCCACCAGGTTTTATGTGCGACAAATAGCGTTCTGCAGAAGATAAGTTACTGGACAATATAAAAGTCTTTAGCAATTAATACAGACAAGACGAAAGCAATACTTTTACGATCAGAATATAGTGTTTTCATCTGCTCAAGGGCTCTCTCTCCAAGGACAAAATATTGACTTTGCACAAAATGTGAAAATTATTGGTGTAATATCCAATAAGTACATGAGCTGGGACACCGAAGTGCAATGTATAGCTGGCAGACTTTCAAACGTTGCGGGCTATATTTATAAATGCCGACATATATTACCCCTTTCGCTCTTAATTCTTCTTTATAACTTCCTCTTCTACTGTTCCTATGAATATTGCTTTCTTGTTTTGGGTAGCACAACGACTATAAATGGACATCACTTGTATGCGCTCCGTAAGGGAATCATCCGAATTATGTGGAATGCGGAGTTCAACATTCACACAGTACAACTTTTGAGAAACCTTCACATAGTTGCAATTACAGAGCATTACCAATAGAAACTTGTAACATATGAAAGCTCTGTAACTCAAAATCAACTTGTTCTTTTATCAATGACCGATATGTCACGAAGGGTCCTGGTGCACATGGATTTGGCACATATTTGATGAGTTTGAGCAGAAAGGATATTTGTTTCTTATTTCTATAGCTTTCTTTCTCTCTCTTCATTTGTTTTCCCTCGGGCAGAGTCCAAAGGAAGGGCCGGTGCAAAAGGCTAAAGAAGCCTGACGTAGCACCGGTCCCTTACAGTCCATGTATAAAAATAACACAGAAATGCATTCCATCTAACAAAATAAAACAGCCTGAAAAAAAAAGACTTTTACAAGATGAGACGCAGACAGATAACACAAAGGGGGCAATAAAAGGTATGCATATTAGGATAAAAATGCGTACTGAATGCAAAAAAAAATAAAAATAAAAACGCGAGAATATTGATTATAATCAACATAAAAAGAAGAAAAGTATAATACAACGCTTTATTGTGATTAGGAAGCTTAGTCAAATTTTAAAACACTGCCTACCAGCAATGCTCTGCATACTTTTTTTTAAATAAAGGAAACAATTTTGCATAGGTCATTAAGGGCATGCTGTCTAGTAGACTAATTGTTTGATAGTGTATACTCTGCCTTCCGTAATTGTTCTTGTATAGGGCTCCTTTCTTTTAACACGACAGAACGGGTGCGATTCTTCCTTTGTGGTTGAGGTGGCGTATAACCTTTTTTGATAAATTAATTGAAATATTTTGAAGTAGTATGCTTGATTTGCCTTTAAGATATTGTATTTAATAAAAAGCGGTTCCGTCCGCAATTCTCTTATTGTCCCCCTATAGGTTTCGAATATTGTTCGAACTTTTTTGTAGGATTAGTCATTTGTAGTTATCGGATATTGTAGTTGTGCCCCGTATAATAATTCGAGAACACGTTTTGGATAAAAATAAGGAGTAATACAATATTTCAACTAACAACCTCGGCACAAGGCTTGCCACTCTATAATTATAGCCAAGAACTCGTGATAATTCTGAGTTAGTTTACTTACGTGTGTATTTAATTTTAATTCCTGGCTAAACCCCACACCAAGTGATTTTTGCTGAGTTGCTTGTTCTATTAAATCACCTTCAAACGTAATCTTAAGGGAGTTTGTAAGAAGTTCTGTTACTGGTTTAAAAGTCACATATTTTGTTTTGCTTGTGTTTAATTGTAACCCATTGGAACTCGGCAATTTTGAAAGCTTTGCAAGATAGGCGCTCGTATTTTCCTCCAGGCCTTCTAAAGTTGCATCACTAAAAAAAGTATTAGTGCCATCTGCATACATTATTAACTCCGGGGAACGAGAAATGCTTAAGATATAATTTATTTAAACTAGGAAAAGTAATTAAAGGACCTAATATAGAACCCTGCGGGACACCATGACGCGTTTTTTTCTTATTTGATTCTAGATTATCAATTTTTACGTAATACCGCCGATTTGTTAAAGAGCTCATTTGTAATACGAGCGCGACCCCGTGATTGCCGTAATGTACTACTTTCCTGAGTAAACTAGTATGCTTAATGGTGTAGATAGCTTTGCTCAAATCTAAAAACAGTCCGAGTGTAATTAACTTGTCCAATACTTGCAACAAATTTCTCTTTAATGTCCAGAAGAGCTTGCTCTAGATTTTTACTTTTGGAACCCGTATTGAGTTCCAAAAGGTGGATATTACACTATGCTTTGTGAAAAAGTTTCTAGGCGATTTTTGATCATGCCTTCAAATATTTTAGACAATATTGTCAGTACAAAAATGGGCCCCTAATTTTCGCTACTTTTTTCGCTACCGCCCTTGTAAATAGGAGTAGCCTTAGCCAGCTTCAAATCAGTCGAGAAAATACCGCTCTCTAACATGCTATTCGCAAGGTGTGATAGTATAGGGCTGGTAGTTCTAGCTGCATGCTTGAGTGGTTGAGCCTTCAACTGGTCATCACCCGCTGCTACGCCTTTCTTTATTTTATCATATTATCATGATATCTTTATCTGTGCCAAATTCAATGGGGCCTTCGACCTGTAAAAAATGTTCGTAATATAACTTTTTTTTAGGTTGTGTTTTGCTTCTATGTAAACTTTGTTGTACAGTGCCCCTCAAACTTAACGCCGCCACTCGGTTACACCCCGGTTACGCAAATATTGATATATTGCATGCTACCCAAAGATAAATTGGTCGCTTCAGCTGCTCGAATACCTTCCCCTGGTTGGGTTCTTATCGGGGACGCGAATCTTCACCAAGTAGTTCGACCACTAGGTTCAGGAATAGCTCAACAAGTGAATAAACCGGACGATCTAGTGGCGGCGTTAAGTTTGAGGGGCACTGTACATATGAATAGTATGTAAAACAGTTTCACTTGTTACTGATGGGGAGCAGAACTTCAGACAAGCGACAGAAGTCTGCTTTTTTCTTTCTCTCCCCCTCTCCCCCGGAGAGAAACAATAAAGCTGGAAGTTGAAAAAATGTTTAAGTTGAAATTTTAGACGTGCCTTCTCTTTATGTCAGATGGAGGACGTTGACACAAAGGGGTCTACGAGGCAATAATAAAAAAAAACGAATTTGCAAAACAATTTTTAAAAGTAATTTCATATGCGAATTAGGCAAACTAAAGCAAGCGTTCAAATGAGCTGGTTCAATACTGACATGTCACCAGAGGAGCCCTGAGCTGTGCTTGCAGCTTTGTGTAGTCCGTCCCGCTTTTCTCCCGTTCTTGGGACACCAACAGAGAAATAGACACTCGGTGATATGAGACTTATTGCTTATGGTGGAATCTCAAGTGTGAACTGTCTGCATAACGAATTGCCACCGTCTACTTTGAGTGTTGATTAAAAAATACGCTCCATTCTGCCCATTTTTCACAATGTTTAACGTTAAGTTTCAACCATCTGGCTATCTTTTCGTTTGAATGGCTCATTATGACATCCGCCGCTGCATGAATATCGTCCTATCATACTCGCTTTTCATGCGCATATTGTTTCTGGAATGCAAAGAGGCCGAGCGGTTACTGTAAATTATGGGTAAAAGGTGAGTCTGAGTGATATCCAGTTGCATATTGTTTACAGATGTTGAAAATTAGGTTTAGTAATTTTGCTCTTTATCACCAGTTTTCTCCCATTGCGTATAGCGAAAATTTCTCAGTGGTGCTCAGTCAGGGCAATTACACAGCTCAGCAAATATATCCTTGTCTTTCAGGTGTTTCATTTTAAATAAAAATGCATAGAAATTAATGCAACACGCCCCAAGAATCAAATAGCAGACAATGTAATTGAACAAGTAACGATTGAGTTCGTTCGAATAATTTGAAGCGCTTTTAAAATCACGCAACATGTTAGTTAATGAAACACTGACTGCTTCAATGGCGAAGTGAGATCGATTGCATTTTTTTTTTTGGAAATGAGAGTGTGACTGACCTCTGATCCTATATCAGTAAATATAAAGAAGAATAAATTTAACACCGAGCTCACATGAATGTCCTTAGTATACCCAAAGGTCACTTGCTTACTAGCCCAGGACGCGGATCTTGCTTAGCTTTTTTTTTTCTTTTTTTTTTTTAGCAAAAGCAAGAGTTGAGCCGAACGCTTTCATTATAATATTTTGCAGGACGAAGGCCCTGTTAAGCAAATTATTTGTATATCTCAAGTGGCAAACTTGCTCGCTAAATTTATCGGGGAAACTAAATTGGTAAATGAATCAGCTGACGCCAACGTCCTCACTGTATTTACTGTTGAAAGTGATTATCTGTATTGGTCACGCGACATCAGTTTTCCCGCCATATTTTGAGAGGAAATTAAATTGGTGCATAGGTCATGCGACAGCAATTTCCGCGCTAAATCTAGCGTGGTAAATGTATCGGTGTTTAGCTCACATGACGCCAATTTCAGCGCTAGCGAGGAAACTGTAATGATGCTTAAGTTGTGTGATGCAAGGGCACGCGACATTAATTTCTCGGTTATGTTAAGCAGGGAAATGCCTGGAGGGGACGGTCAAATGGACGAACAAATTTCTGGGATTGGGGGGCTTCGTTTAAAAGCACTCCTTGTATTAACACGAGAATGACCGCAGGTTCCAGCTGGAGGCGAGGTGCCCGTAAAATACTACCTCAAGAACGGCCCTCGCGTTTCCGAGGATCCCAATGCCACCACCTGCTCCCTGGAACGGGGACAGAAAATGGATGTACCCGTGAAAGTAGACAGCAAAGGATCAACCCTGTGCTGGAAGTTCCAAACGAGTCCCGGCCACGACGTTGGCTTCGGTGTCCTGCACATTGCGGGAGAACACGTCAAGCCAAAGGAGATCTTGGAAGTCGGCAAGGTCAAGTGCGATCAGGTTGCTGAAACTGGGAGACTCTCCGCTGAGCCCGGGACATGTGAGGCTGCTATTTCCAATACAGCTTGTGCGCCGTATGCCCCTACTCAGGGACAGCTTTCTGTGGCTATGCAGCCAATGCTATGGGTGCTGGGTCGCTCGAACACCTGTAGCGTCGGCCAAAGCTCTCCACGCGCATACTTCAGTTCTTCTGCGAAATCGACGGCACCTAGTGTGTAGATCTAAAAGCTTTCGTGACAGTTCCGCGGACCTGTCACGAAAGCTTTTAGATCTACCCGCTATTCGCAACTCTAGCCCGCCCGCTATTCGCAACTCTAGCCCGCCGCTCGCCCTCCCGCGGACGAGCGGAGAACCAGAGGAGCGGGAACGGCAGCGGTGGCGGCGGCGCGGAAACGGTGGCAGCGACTGTCAGCCTTGATGTGTGAAGCCGTTTTAACTAAAAAAGTGAGCACGTTAAAATAGGAATTCTCGTGCTCCGCCTTGCAAAAGCGTTGCACGAAGGACCGGGATGTCTAATTTCATTAGGGACTTTTCGTATATCGCAAACGCTGCGGGTTTCTGGTCTTGTGCATGACCGCCAGCTCAATCTCCACTCAACGTGACGGTGGCAAACGCTCCCGCTAATAATGTAAAGCTCTATAGAACGGTCTACGAAAAGTATTCTTTGCCATAAGTAGGAGAAAACTCGTCGTGCAACGTTATGTCGAACAATACACATCGGGAACGGGTTCGCGTTCTAAGGCCGTTACAAGGAACATAACCATTTATTCCAGCCATTCGTGACGAGAGCTTAGAAGGGGTAGTTTTGAGGAGAGGGGTCGCAGCGTTGCAAATAACACGTTACAGAAAGGTACGGTATATTAAAATATTTATATTTGACAGAGCAATAAATAAAACCCCTAAACACGCCGATTATGTTAATAGGCAGTTTTTGCATAGCGTACGACACTCCTACACTTCAGTTCGACGTATAGCACACTGACGTTCAACCGACGCCACCAACTTTCACGAGCGGCTTGATAGCCGAGTTGTACAAGTTATTAAAATAGCGTAAATAAGTGTAAATGACTAAAAAAAATCGCAATCGAGTTTTTGTTTTTGGTTCCACTGCAAAACCTCGGGTGTTTTTTTTTTTTTTGTACACTTTGTTGCGTATTTCAGCGCTTTATTATCTTATATCGCACCGTCGTCCAGCCTTTCGTAAAGGTTGGGCCTGTCAGTTTGACATCAGTGCACTGCACGGCGAACTGCAGTTTTGTAATGTCGTATATCCGACAAGGCGTGCAAGGACTACAACCTTTTCTTTTAGAGTCAAGAGCATGGCAACGTTCCTGGGGCGCGCTGAAAATTGTGCTTCAAAGGCGCAGCGCGAGCTTCTGGTTGTAGGAGAGGGGGAGGGGTCACGTGACCTTGGGGGAGTTCACGTGCCCCCCCCCCCGAAGGCACGTGATTCCGCGAGACGAGGTGAAGAGGAGGGCGGAGGGGGATACCTTCCCCTCAGTACTCTTCCATCCACCTCCTCAAAAGCTGCGCTTCAATTCAGCGTTACAGGGAGTTGCAAACGGCTTTAATTTTTTTCAACAAATTTCTTGCGAAGCGTTCTTTCTCAATAGTGACAACCAAGACGATCGTCCGTCACCTATCACGCGGAGTTTTCTTTGTTTCTTACTATATTGAATTCTTTAATACTCTCTTTGCACACATGGAACATAGCAGTGTTAGGGTTAACGCGTTACAAGTAATGGCGTTACAGGTAACGAGGGACTTTCTCCGGTAACATAGTAAGGTCCTCGCTATATCTCCAAAATAGTAACGGATAGCATACTTTTGTAACTTATTTTGAGTAACATAATTATGCTACTCTTAGGTTTTCTACCCAAGAGTAAAACGAATTACGCCTCCTTGTTTTCGTGTTTCTATGTGCCAAGTTTTATTAATTCTCGCACTCGTCCCATATACCTTTAAAATCAGAACCATAAAAATTATAACAGAATTCTGTTAACTTTTTGCTTGGACAGTGTTTCGTTAAGTATGGCGCCCAGGCAGTGAAACATTTTAATTATTAATCAAAAGTAGCGCAACAGCAACGTGCCTTATTTGTATCAAAAAGGGTAACGGGAAACCTGTTCCGTCTAATTTGAGGTAACGTAGGCCTGTAACACGTTCCTCTTATTTGCAACTAACGAGAAACGTACTTCGTTACTTTTTTGGCAACGCCTACAGCAGTCGAACATAGTGACCATTTGAGTTCTGACAAGAGATGTTAAAACAAACAAAAATATGATATTTAATTTTTGAAAGCGTGACATGACGAAAACACGCAGAAACGACTCACACCGCTCCACGTGAAGGGTCTTGCTTGGGTTTTTTTATTGTGTGACTAAGGCATGCACGTTTTCATTCGCAGCTTCAATAGACCGATCTCACCAGCTAGTTCGAGTACGCCACCGCTGCCGCCATGCGTCGTGGGAGCTGTAGTCTTTCTGCACGTGCGACAACCCCGCTGGAGGTCTGCACGAGCAGAGCACGAGGCGGCATGAGCTGTCTCGTGAACTGGCGTCTGCATCCTATGAGCTACAGTTATGGCGGCGTCACGCATGCGTGGAACGCTTAGTGAGATCGGTCTATTGCTTTCTTTTAAAACAACCCGAGAAACTCCGTCCTCGGCTCCGCCGCCCACCTGCGGAGCTTTGGTGCTAATAGAACGAAGCCTCCGCACCTCCGCCACGGAGGAGAACGGCGCCGCGAGGCGTCAAAAAGGGATGACGTATGTCTCACGCGATGCGCGCTCCGCGGAGGAAAGCGGCGGAAAGAGGAAAGCGGCGAATTTCTCCTTCGTGTGGATACCCCATGGTATCCAAAAAGGAATGACGTATGTCTCACGTGATGCGCGCACCGCGGAGGAAAGGAGCGGATTTCTCCTTTGTGTGGATACCCCTTTAAAGGGGTATCGACACGAAGGAGAACTCCGCGGACGGATGTCGTGACGTCAACATCCCGGGAAACTTCGTCCCCGGCTCCGCCGCGTGCACTTGCGGAGCTTTCGTGCTGTCAGCACAAAGCCTCCGCGCCTCCGCCACGGAGGAGAACGCGCCGCGAGGCATCAAAAAGGTATGACGTATGTCTCACGTGATGCGCGATCCGCGGAGGAAAGTGGCGGATTTCTCCTTCGTGTGGATACCCCTTTAGGGGCTAGCCATGTCCCTATGTCCGTCCCACGTCCGGCGTGCCCCTGCTCGTGAGTTCCGCAGCGAGAGCAAGAAAAAAAAAATGAAAAAAAGATGAAAAAAGAAAAAGAGGAAAAAATAAAAGGGGGCTCTGAGATACCATCCCATCTGTCTTCTTAAAAAAAAAGAAGAAAACCACACATTCTTCTACTGACATGAATGAAAACGGCACCATCAGCACTACCTATGGCCAAAATCAGTATCAAGAAAAAGAAGAAAAAAAAAAGAGTAGGGGGCTCTGAGTTGCCATCCCATCTGTCTTCTTAAAAAAAAAGAAAAAGAAGAAAACCACACATTCTCCTACTGACATGAATGAAAACGGCACCATCAGCACTACCTATGAGCAAAATCGGAATCATCAGCACCACCCGAGCTTCGCCCCAATCAACATCATTCACCACGTGGAGATGCGGTAATTTTTCAGTTTCCCGATACGGTACGACAACGTTCGATCCCTAAATTCCGGTTCTATATTATATTCCGGAGAACGGAATACAGCCGAGAAGTATTCTTATTGTCTCTTCACTCTGATTTAGCTTGCTTTTGTGCGATGACACGGTGATCTTATTCCATTCAAAAGGCGGCTGCAGAACTTGCGGGTCAGTGGTACCTGATTGACTGCCCAATAATCACGCGATGAATGGTGGGGGCAAAGCCGTCTTTGTCGTAATATGTAGATGATAGTGCCGCGCGCAGGGCCGAGAAAGCAACGCTCGGTCACGAACTTCTAGAAGGTTCACGGTTATTCTTGCTCCGCACATAACTTCTATCATTTATTCCTGCTTTGGTTGTTCTAGAAAGTGCGTGTTCATTGCCGCCCCGAGCGCGTGACACTCGAGCTTTCTTCTCCGAATCTTCTAGATTGTGACGCACTCTAGATAAGCTAGATAAGAGACCGCCCGCGACCTTGTCGAGTCAGTCTCGCCCCAGCGTTCGATTCCGCTGTTACACCGACTTCCACGCCCGCGACGCTCTATTATTATCTTCTGTTTCCTTTTTGTTTTGGGCATAAGTTCGCCTCATTAAACGTTTAGTTTACTTCAGTTTTCATCGCCTCATCCCTTGTCATTCGTGACATTTTGGGTAATTGTGAACCTTCTAGAAGTTCGTGACCGAGCGTTGCTTTCTCAGCCCTTCGCGCGGCATTATATGGTATATAGCTTTTCTAAGGATATGGCAATTTAAAAAAAACCTCTCTTTTTTTTCAGACATCTTCCGGTTTGACAACAGCAACAGCTGGTTTACCAAGAAGGAGCTTTCCTACGTTTTACAAGTCAAGAGCTCTGAAGAAGTTCTGCCCTGAGGAAGCTGATGATTATCATTTTCTTTTTCTTTTGCTAAACCACTATCTCAGATCAAAGTAGAATATTATAAACAATCTTTCAAGTACTTGAAGTTTGTACCAGCTTAATAAATACATTTTTAATCAGGTTATTTCTGATATTGGTTACTTTCATAACAAGGCAGCCTAGAGATATGCTGTGTATACATCTACCACCACGGCCTCCGGACTCGAACCCTATCGGTGTCAGTGCGTGCTGAAGGCACGTGAAAGGTAACTTTGGCAGGCTTGCGATTACACGGGGTTTCTCACTCGAGGTAAAGACTTTGCTCGAGCTGAGCAAAGACGGAGTTAAAATTTATTAATCCAAAGAGATTGCGCCAACTCCACATACAGACGTGTGCACACATGGTGCTTGGGATAGAGAGGTAATAATCCGCCATAAACATAAAATTTGCAAAAAAGGGGACCGGTGAGAAGGGGTTTTGTCGTGCACTTTACTTTAATAAGTTTTCATGTACGGAATTGTCTTAATTAAGAATGAAAGAAACATTTCTGAAATTCTAATCCCCAACGCCGACCGAGCAATACCGAGCACGCCAAAAAACTTGGAAGCCATGATCGGCGCATGACCTTGGAGATTACCGATACGCGAAGTTTCCTCTGGATGCCCCGTTCCTCGGAAAGGGACTCTAATTGAATGAAGTGGCTCGTGGTAGAGCGTCGGCTCTGTCAGCAGATGGTCGCTGGTTCGGTCTTTACCTCGTAATATTTCACTTTTTTTATACCGTTTGATTTATTAATTTTTGTTAATGAGAAGAATGACTTCCGGCTAAGGTGCGAGTTTAAGGTTTGGGCGTGCAACCTTCAGACAAGGGTGAGCCAACACAAAATAGTACTTTATGTTGTTGTGGGAAACTATTCAGTCCAAGACGGCGTCTGGTGTTTTGTATCAAATAAAGATTACAGTCATTCTCTCCGCTGTAAATTAGAAATTTAGCCAGTGCAGTACAACTACTACCCTCAGGTCTTATACATGGATTGTGTAGTAGTGATACACGATTGCATGCCGGTACCTTGCTCATCCATGTTGAAACGGGCAGAGGGGACGGGAATTTAGCATAAGATTTTTGTGGTCTTCAGCGTGGGCCTTCGCTCCAAGTGCACCAATTTGCAGTGCGCTAAAGTGTCAGCCAACGATGCCCCGATGAAGTGTTGGCCGTCCCCACCCGTGTCAGCCTCCCATACACCATAAGGCGTTTAGTCGCGCCCTTGGCTTGCGTCAACGTCGGCGCTCGTAGTGCGTGAAAAACGTCCCTTGTGGTTGGGCCTTAAAGGTGTACGGAAACAAAATTTTGACTCTTATTTCTTTGTTTAGCCAGAAACTAAGTTGCGTCAGCACCTTATAAACACCCCTCTTCCTCTCGTAAACACACAAAAACTAATTTTAAAACGAATAAAAAGATTTGGGAGGCCGATGCATTTACGACGGTGAATGGCTTTCGCCCCAGCGCCACTCACGAAAGTACAGCGAAAATGTATTCGCCCCTTTTTGTCCGGCAACAAGCTCAGTGGCGCCGTAGTATTGAGTAGCCCCGGCTGTGATGTGGGTGACGCGCTGGAACAAAAGCCCCTGGGCGGTGATGCATGGCGGTTGGCTGGAGCGTTTCCTCACCGTCATTTCAGAGTCTACTCCCGGCGTGGCGGGGACGGTGACGTTAATGGCTGTGGCTATATGCTGGACATTTCATGTCCCTTCTTGAGCCGCTCTGCATGGCACTCGCAATATTCAAAGGTCACCCCTTTTCTAAGTGTTTATTTTATTCTCTCCTATTCCCCTTTTCTTCCAACCCCCTAACCACCAGCTAGCGACCAGCCCCTTCCACCGAGGCCACAAGTCTGCTGGTGTCCACCTTTCCCGTTACTGCAGAAATAAACAAACAAACGAATTGCAGAAAGATAATATACTTTCAGCAACCATGGTTTGAAACTCCCGCCCTAATCAATGACGTAGTTAGCAAAAAAAGGTGCACTCTTTGCATTTCTCGATGACCTCAAACTGGAAGCAAACCGGAAGGGTTTTACTTTTACTCTTTTCTTCTAATCGTTCATGGGCACGCGCAAGTGCCACTCGGCCATCCGCGAAAGAATTCTTAAGGCCGGTTCTCACATGCAGCGAAGCGCTGATGTAGCGCTCCTCACGTGCCGTCAGCTACTTATCGTCTGCCATGAGCAACAGTTTTGACGGTGCGATACAAAGCTGGTGAACGCTCCCATCAGCACGCGCTTAGCGCGAGGTAAGCGCTATGCTTGTAGCGCTCCGCTGCATGTGGGAACAGGCCTTTAGTGTGCCATTCTTAGTGTGCAGACCATTCTTAGTGTGCAGACAGCGCGTCACATTTCAGTTTCTTTCTTTAGCAGTGTTAGAATGTCTAAAACGATTTTTAGAACGTAAGTAAGAAAACGATATGTAGCAGACCTGGGTGAGCTACGTGAGGGGCAATGTCGCAAAGGTGATGCGTGATACGTTATCCGTGAGGTTCTCCGGCAGTGAAAAACAAATTACAGGAGGACACTTAAGAGTGCTTACGTGTATGAAGGCGACAGCATTTTATTCCCGCGGGAGAAATTATTTCGAGTAATAGAGAGTTTTAAAATAGGGGGCCCCAAAGCTCGGGGGCCCCAAAGAAATAGGGGCTCACCACTTAATTTGCGCAGAACCCAAACTCTGTTTGGGGTTTTGGGTTGGCGCACACCCCCAACGCAAAATTCGAGAAATAGCGTGGGGTCCCTATTTGCTTGGAGCCGGATTGTGTTGGCAAAGATGGCGGCGCCCTTTCCTCTCGCTTTGGAGCAAATTCGTCATGGTGGCTGCAGTATTACCCCATTTTATTGCGAATGAATGGTGCAACCGGCTTTCGCTTTGCTTTATCTCGCTCAAGTAACAAAGCATGAGTGGTGGATTCACCCATTTATAAGATCGTCTCTGATTCTGGCCGCTGCTTAGCCTAAAGAGACGCGGTAACCGTTGACATGGCAACGTATTGCTACTCTGTGGCTCCGAGTGGATTACGTTCGTGGCACGATACCTGCAGCTTGAAAACAAGTAATTCAAGATTTCAAATTCGCTCCAGTTAAGATCTAAATAGAGCAGCTGCTAGCAGAGCATGCTATCTCGCGTTCAACCTAACACCACTCCGACAAAAGGCCTCCGCACGCGTCATCCCAATCAGATCAATCGAGGCGTGAGATTGGGCATAACTGCTGCGCCAGGTTGTTTGGCTGGGGCTGGTATCCAATCAGCGCTTCGACGGTCGGGCTCGGGCCCAATAGCTGAGTTAGCGCGATCCGACTCTGATGACGTTTCGTAAAGGGAGAGGAGGCCAGGAGGAGGCCTTCTGGCTAGGTGGTGTAGGTTCACTTTAGTTTCAGCATAGTTGAAGGCCAAAATCTTCGGCGACAAAGGGTCAAAGCGCACACGAACGCCCGAAAAATTCGAGAACGAGCGCCAAATTAGAGCGCTACGGATTGGGTTGTTTCGGCTGAATGCAGCCAACATGTATATATAGGGAGTATTCTCTGGCGGCCGCGAATGTTGAGCGCGTGCTGATGGCGAGCTTCCACAGTTCTTTTGCAACGTGCATTCCGCACCATCAAAAGTGCCGGTCTTAGCAGCCTATTGATGTGAGCTCGTTCTGAGCATGCGCTCTAAACAGCACCCACAAATATGGCGCCCATTGAATACCCCCTATAGAATGTCTCTGATTTAGCCGGCTTGGTTGGGGTTTACCTTAACTATTATTTGCAAGCAAAAAGTAGTTGCTAAGGTCACCTGTTTAACGTTTTATATATATATATATTTTTAGTATTACGCTGGTTAGCCGCATTGGTGCTGCATGTGGGAAACCTAAGCGCGCTGCGCGGCGTCCATAAGCCGTTGACGCCAACCTTGTAACGTTTGGGTCCCTCAATTTCTCAGGGGAACCCAAACGTCAGGACCCCCTATTCTAAAACTCTCTAATGTCTCTACACGTATTGAAGTTTAGGACGACGTATAGGGCGATGTCCTAGAGATCTATCCCAAGTACAGTGTCTAGGACGACCTGTAGACGACGTCAAGGACGGCGCCTAGGATGACCTTTTGGACGACGTCTAGGACAACGTCAAGAACAGCGCCTGAAGGCCGACGTCTCTGACGACGTCGAGAAGACCACTACAGGACGGCCTCTAAGATGGCGACAAAAACGACGTCTAGGATGACCTCAAAGACAACGTCGAGAACTACGCCTAGAGTACGACGTCTAGGACGGCCTCAAGAACGACGCCTAAAGGACGACGTCTAGGACGACCTATAGGTAGTGGCCCAAAACTATCGCTAGAACTATCGATAGTATCGATAGTCGCCAGAAATCTGACTATCGTGAAAAAAACTATCGAAAGTACTATCGATAGTCGACTATCGAAAAACTATCGATAGTACTGTCGATAGTCGACTATCGAAAAACTATCGATAGTACTATCGATAGTTGACTATCGAAAAACTATTGATAGTCGACTATCGTAAACCTATCGATGGTACTGTCGACGATTTACTATCGATAGTTTTGCGACACTCGTAGTTTGCGTCGCTCCCTCTTCTCTTTTTATTGCTTTATTAATTTTTTTTTAAATGGGGCACCAACTAGCTCAGGCGCTTATCATCCCAACTTTGGTTCAGCTCTCAGTGATGACGAAGACGGGAATTTCGGCGAGGAGTGGAGAAAGGGAGGCGAGCGGTAGGGGGGGGGGGGGGGGGGCGAGGGTAACACGGGCCGGGGAGGAGGAAGCAGACGGAACGCTGGAGAAGAGATGGGGAAATCTCCTTCTCTCTTTAGCGTTCCGACTGCTTCCCCCTCCCCGGCCCATCTTGCCCTCGCCCTACCTTCTTGAGTTGTAACGGACTATAGCGGTGCAAAACTATCGATAGCACTATCGATAGTATCGTTAGTTGCCAGTATAGTAAAAAAACTATCGATAGACGACTATCGAAAAACTATCGCTAGTACTATCGATAGTCAACTATCAAAGAACTATCAGTAGTACTACTGATAGTCGACTATAGAAAAACTATCGATAGTACTATCGATAGTCGACTATCGATAGTTCTGAGACA